TCAGCCTCCCCAGCACTGAGATTACAGACATGTGCCATTATTCATGGTTTAAGTGATTTTTAAACAGTAACAACAAATAGGACCAAGATTCATGACTACTCTCCCTGCATGCCCATCTACTATCTTCTTATCATTTGTTTGAGAATATTTTCAGATTCCACCTTGAATGTATTCAATTTCTCCTGATCCCTGAAATCAGACTTTAGCATGTATGCCTTTGAATTTGCAGTTTGCTGCAATTGTATCCTGCTGTAACATTTCTTTTGTACCTTGCTCAGGGGAATTTAACATATAAGAATAATGAGCATTTTAATCCATTTTTCCATTCCCGTGATACAATACTTGAGAAATCAGTGAAAAAGAGCAAAGTTTCAATTTTTTTCTCATAATTTCAGAGATTTCCATCCATAATCACTTGGATCCTTTGGTTCTGGGTCTGTGGTAAGGAAGAATATCATGATGGGGGTATATGGCGGAGCAAAGCATTGACCTCATGGCCATCAAGGGTGTGGGCAACAGCAGACACAAACAAAATATTCCCTTCAAAGCCATGTTTCCACTGGCATACTTCCTCCAACTAGGCTCTACTGCTCTCAGATAGGCACAAAACTTGTAACACAGGAGTTTCATAACATTCAAACTCTAATAGTATGTAACATATATAACATACATCTGTGTCATAGGCACTTATGAAAGTGTTCTTATATTCTTTGAGGCAACATCCCATTATATAGCTGAAGAAATTTAGATGTACAGAGGTTAAATAATTTGCCTGAGGTCATCCAACTTACAGAGAGCAAAGTTTGTCTACCTAAGCAATCTGATAAAGAAGCAACTTCTTGGCCACAATGACTAATAACCAGAGAGTGGCATCAGCCTGGGTTTTACCCAACAGTTCCTGGCCTTATGTCCTTGTGCAAGTACTTTTTGTACAGAGTTCCAGGAAAATTTGTGCAAGAGTATGATTCTGGGGAAATCTTTTTAGACTGTTATCACCAGGTACCTATGCATGAGAATCCTTCCTTCATAATCTCATGATTGCATTTACTTTGTTAATAGTCAGAAGTAACTTCATTTTTATTCTGAAAACTTTCACATTTCTTTTAGCAGAAGTGGTAAAAATTAGTGATTGCTTTCACAGAGCTCACACAGTCAGCACTATGAAGGATGCTTTGGAAGGCAGAGAATTACAAAAATGAAGGAGAGCACCTCTATTCCACACAGAAAACTACTCAGATTAATCTTGTATTTCATGCTGCCATCCCACTACCAAATTCCTATAGCATTTGATTATTACAATCAAACTGTGGCATTTAATTACATTTTATATCATTCCCTAACTACTCCCTGTCGTTACTCATCTCACCCTAGTGAAAAAATATAAGAAACATTTATGGAATTGAAATGCCTTGTAAAGATGCCACAGGTCTGACAGATGGCAGGGGTCAGCTACCAACTTCTCCAGCAGCCCTGGCTGCCACATCTGGCCTCAGATCTGGCTGTTCTCAGCTGTCAGGTATAGTCCACTAAGCCAAACTTTGGATGTTGTTACTCTCTGCCTTATTAAGAGATACATATGACTGGGTCCAGCGGGCCAATCCATTATTTTTCTACTGTAAATTTGTAATTTAGCATAATAGTACTCAGCTGTGTGTCCTAGTGCCTTTTCCTGAGGGATACAAGAAGCAATCTATGCATTTACCCACTTGGTATGACAAATGGCAAGTTGTATGCTCATGTGCCAAATTACCAAAATGGGATTTTTGCCCATTTTATGTCCCATATACTTTGTTTTTCATATGTTTGTCCCATATGGGGTTTTCTTTTGATTTTTTCTAAGACAAAAAGCGCAGTTCAGTACAGTGGCATGTGAAAGGCCAGATTTGCAAGTTTTGAAGCTCAAAAGCGAATCGTCAGATTTCTCATGCATGGATGATAAAGATGATCCATCATTGAAAACTACATGCTTGCATAACATAAGAGTAGTGTGGATGTATGATAATGGTGATGATGAGAACTTTGATATTGGCCATATGAGCCAAAGTTCCTGCAAGAGTGAAATGGAGTAAGAATTGAGTGAAACAGACAAGCGAATGCAGGCCTCCTTGATTCAGATGATGAAGTTGTTGTACATATTTGTAGTCAAAATGTTGCAAAATGTTCCACAATATGTTCTACATATTTGTAGTCAAAATGTTGCAAAATGTCCAAGCAACCAAATGGAATGATCTAATGCTAAAACTGTTTGAAAACATAGTGAGGGTATTAGGCAGAATGCTAGCACTGCTATTCAATGTTAGAAACTGTAACTGACAAAATGCTAAAAGATGCTGTGAAATGCACAAAGTCTGAAATGCAAGTAAAATATTCTGTATACATCAATATCTATATTTTTCAAAAATGTATTTATTATGACACCTCCCTCACTGAACTGAAGGCATTCATAGGTCTTCTGTACTTAGCCAGAATTTCTCATGGTGATCATGCTTTCTCACGGAATGTAGAAGATTTCTACATGAGAAGATTTCTCATGGAATATAGAATATTTATGAAAAGTTATGCATTAAAATATGGCATAAAAATTTATGCCATTATAGATGCAAATACTTATTATGCTTTCAATTTATATGTTTAACCTGGAGTTCAGCCATCAGGTCCTTATTTGTGTAGCAATAAACCAAATCATGCTGTGAATAGATTGGTGCTTCCCATCTCTCAAACTAATCAGAATGTAACATTCAACAGTTGTTTTACCAGTTTTCAATTAATGTTACATTTGCTAACAGAGCACAAGTTGACCATCACAAGGACCATATCCAGAAACAAAGCAGAACTTCCAAATGAAGTGTTGCAATTTTAAAACAGAATTGTGAAGCTTATTCTAGTTCTAAGTGCTTCCCTGGCAAGCGCAAGGGCCTGAGTTCAATCCCGTTCCAAAAAAAAAAAAAAACAAACAGAATCCTATCATACAATCTTTGGGTTTCAGAAAGATATAACATTGTTCTCCTATATGGTGAAGAAAAACAATTTGTACTGCTGATATCAACATTGCACCATGATGAATATATTTTGATAGGGAAACCTTGACACAATGGAAGCCTGAGGTAAAAACTTTCTACAACAAAACTAATGTCCTTTGAAACACAAAGCATAGCCAATGGTTGTTTCACTTAATCCTAAATATGTATGGCACAGACAGTTTAATAGTTTACAAAGAAAATAAGAAATGAAAAATATCAAGCAGAAATTTTCTCAGAGGGTTGGGAATGGAGCTCATAAGCAACTATTTACATCAGAGGAAAAATGAAATGTTTTTGCCCAGGAAACTACGCAAGAAAAAAAATGTGGATCACACTGGTGAGATGACAGGTGAATAGGCATATCACAGAGAACTACTATGACAACAAGAAAACAAAAAAGATGTCATTTCTTTTCTTTACAAGAAATCACAGAAAAACAAAACTCATGTACTATCAATGTAAGCAATGCTTGTGTGTGTGACATGCAGTTGTCACATGCAAAGACTGCCTGCATGGTCACAGTTGAAGTAAAACTTATTTCTGTAGTAGACTTCTGTTTGTATTTGCATCATAGTTCACATAGGTTTTACTTTTGGTGTTATCTTTTAGTTTTTGTAAGCAAATAAACTGCTGACCTGAAAATGCTCAAACTCATTGTATGTTTGATATTTTATTGATATCTCATCTCCCTGCTAAGTGCATGTTGTACAATATTTTTTTGGGGGCGGAACCGGGGATTGAACTCAGGCCCTTGCACTTGCCAGGGAAGCGCTTATTCCACTGAGCCATCTCCCTGGCCCTCTGTTATACAATATTGTAAGAAGCCCCTGACAAAACAGAAAGAGAAGTGACAAGACTGCCACATAAGAAAGCTGTGTACATGTGCTATCAGTGTGAGACATGTACATGGAACATGCAGTGGTCATGTGTGAAGACTACCCTGAGTATAACAGTAAAATCAAAGCTTATTTTTGTGTTAGAATTTGAATAATATTTTCATTGTAGTTCATATATGAATTTATTTCTGATGGTATCTTTTAGGTTTTGTAAGCAAGTACACAAGTGATATGAAAATGCTGATGGTTATTGTAAATGAAAAACACATATTAAGAATTAAATACTTTATTGTATTGATATTTTATGTTCCTGTTAACTACACACTGCATAATATAACAAGAAACTCCTGAAAAAAAAAAAAAAAAACAGCAAGACCACTGAGATGTCAAGTATGTCGAACAAAAAGGCCAGGAAAGCAAAACAAATGTGCTGTCAGTGTGAGGCATAGGTGTAAATGGAATGTGCTGTTGTCACGTGATAATTGAAGAAAGGTTTTTTTCATAAAGTGCTATTGGTATTTTCATTGTAGTTCATATAGGAATTGTGGTTTTTCTTTTTAGACTTACTTAGTACACAAAAAAGTCCATGGTGAAAATGTTCAAGCTTTTTTATAAATGCTCGATAAATATTAAAAATTCAATACTTCATTTTTGTGGAGTTTTTCATATTAAGTGTTCATTGTTTAGCATAATAAAACTCATAAAATTAAAATAAGTCATGAATATAAATATCCTAGAGACTGGGCGTAGTGGCATGTGGCTGTAATCCCCGGGTTTGGGAGCCTGAACATAGGATTACTGTGAGTCCGACGTGTGTAGTGAGACCCTGTAGACCCTGTACTAAATACAAAACAAAACAAAAAAGAAATATCCTAAAAAGTGAACGTGGATCGGACAGACCCATATTTATACACCTTGATGACAAAATTAGCTCCATGCCCCTAAACCGTGGTCTAATTCTGGGACAGTTTACATTACGCTGTCTCACCAGTGCAGCCACAACCGCTAGAACCTCCGTTCCACCAGAGGGCGAATCTAACCCTCCATACCTTCCCAGAGTTCATCAGAAGAAAACAAGTAAAGGCTGAGGCAGTTAGACCCAATGCAGCTGCCGTAGCCGCCCCACCCCCCCACTCCAGTAAACAGGAAGTAGAATCGGTGTTTGGTGTCTAGAAGAGACTTGCGAGCGGTTGCTGTAGCGGGTGCTCGCTTCCAATTCACGCCCTCCCCTCCCCGCGCGCCATTTTTTTGTCCTAGTCCAGAAACTGTTGTGCTTTGCTTAGAACTTTCCTCAGCACCATGGCCGAATACTCCTACGTAAAGTCCACTAAACTCGTGCTCAAGGGAACAAAAGCCAAAAGGTGAGGCCCGCGTGCCGCCCTTCCTTTCTGTGGCGCCCACTCCCCGCGCGTCGGCCGGAGCAGGAGGAGCCGACCTTTTGGCCTCTGGCCGGGCGACCCCTCGGTTGGCGACCGCGCCCCGCCTCCGCCTGGAGAGGACGGGAAACCCGAGCCCGAGCCGCGCTGGGCGCACAGCGCTCCCGCCGGCCTCTGCGGGAAATGGAGGGCCTGTCGCGTCGGCCGCGACGACAGCCTCTTGCCTTGTGGAGAACGTCACGGTTCCCTCTGCCCCGCCCCCTTCTCCCCCAGCTTCCCCTCTCCCTCTTCCCCCACCTCTCTCTCACACACTCACACTCTTGATTTTTTTCTGACGTAACGTGGATTGTGGGACTGAGCAGAATCTCGTCGTGGATTGTATGAGCTTTCATCGGGATGGGGGTTCATAATGACACTACCAGTTAGTGTGTAAGCAAAGCTCGACACTGGGGATGCTGAGGCAGGAGGACCTCTGCAAGTTTGAGGGCAGCCTAAAGCTACAAGGTGAGCTCGAAGCCAGCCTGAGCTGCATAGTGAGACCCTGTCTCAAAGATTATTTTTTTCTAAACTTCCATTCTTTTAGTAAGAGCTCAGGTAATTTTTTCCATGTGTTTGTTGACAGTTAATCATTAAATGAAATAAAAGATATACCGGAAAATCAAGCCAAAAAGGAGATAGTAGTGTAATTCAACTTCCTAGTTAAGCATCCAGTGCATTCATGTGGCCCATTCTTTTTTCAACGTTTTTTAAGATTTGTTCCTGCTTAGCTATGCAAATACTGAGTATTTCTTTCTAGTTTTAGTGATACGCAGAGTTTCAGGCACTTTGAGGCAAGACAGAAAGACTATGAAACAGCCAATAAGCCATTGCTTTTGAGAACTGCTAGAAGAATGAAGTTCTTTATTATGCTGGAATGAATAATTTATTTTGAATAAATTAATATTTTTACTTTCTGAAATAGCAAGGAGCAGAGTTTGCTTCTGGGTTTAGTTTGGTTTTGTTCTGTTTTGTTTTTAAAAGACAGGGTCCTATTATGTAGTCCAAGGTTGGCCTCAAACTTGGGCTTCTGCCTCAGCATCCAGAGTGCTGAAGTTGTAGGTGTTCCATACCATGTCTGGCTAGAGTTTACTTTTGAAAACACACTTTACAATTAAAATGCAAGGAGGTGAATCTTACTATGACTATCCAGCATGATTAATGCCTCTTTAGCAGTTTCTGTGAGTCATAAATTATTCTAAGTATTTTGCATTTTAACTTTTTGCCATGTATCTGGGGTTTTTTTATGCAATTCATATGCGACAAAATTCCTCATTTGAAGTGTACAATTCAGTGGAGGGGTTTTTGTTTGTTTTTTTTGTTTTTGTATTCATGAGATAGACTAGTGTCTAATTTAACATTTTCAACATCCCCCCAAAAAAAAACCCCTTTCTATTCAGAGTTTGTGGCACCTCCTTGCTTTCTGTTAGTATTTGTTTGTTATGAATATTTTATTTTAGTGTAATCATACATCATACAGCTTTTTAAAATAAGGCTTTTACTTAGTATGATGTTCTTAAGAACCATCCATATTTTAGTGTAATACAGTGTATTTACTCATTTTATAACTGAATAATATTTCTGTTACTAAGTTAAACATCAGTTAATGGATATTTAGGTGATTCCCACTTCAGGGCTACTAGGAATAATGCTTCTATGAAAATCATTTTGTAAGTTTGTGTGGACATAAATTTTCATTTATCTTGGGCCAATAAATTAGGAAGGTAGTTACTGGCTCTTAGGATAAGAGATAGCAGTTTTACATTCTCAGTACTGTATGATGGTATGTATTAACTCTTAATCTCTAAAAGTAACTATAAGCTTTGAGTTATTGTCATTTTATAAGTTTGGATACTGATTAACAAAGAGTTTAAGTACTGTTTCCAAAAGTCAGAGAGGTTAAGCAATCTGGATCAGGATTTAAAATTAGGAAGTTTGACTGTAGAGTCTGCCCTGAATGCTAATGTAGGCCCCAGAAGCACTTCTCAGTACTATAACACAGTTGGTCAATGTAAATCACCGAAAATCAGTAGCTTATGAATCACTGAATGGCTTCAAAAACTTTTCCGTACTTTGACACTGTGATATTTGACATACAAGTGAATTTGAGTATATAACTTTTCTTCTATAGTAAGAAGAAAAAGAAAGAAAAGAAGAGAAAAAAAGAAGAGGATGAAGAAACTCAACTTGATATTGTTGGTGAGTCACTACATGCTGTATTCTGCAAAAGTTGAATTTTGTTGATTTTTTAATATATTTTTAAAAATCATTTATATATTTGACATATGGTCTCCCTATGCAGCTCGGACTCATAGTGATCCTCCTGTCTCAATCTTGCCCATGCTGGGAGTACAGGCATGCACCACTACACCCAGTTTCAGTGGCCAGCACAGTGGGCCCAGGTTTCCAGGGCTGGCAGGGCATGCCATGCCGGGGATTGAATTCAGGTCCTTGTGCTTGCCAGGCAGGCACTTAGACTAGCTGAGCTATCTCTCCAATCCTGTTGAGATATCTTTCAAAAAATTTTTTGTTAGGAGTTTATGACTGTTGTTTGTCCTAAGTACTCAGATATTATTTACAGTTTCAGATTCCTGCTTTTTATGAACAGAGTGGATAGATACCATTGGTACCTTTCATTTTCAGAAAGGTACTATAGAGAAAGCATAACTGTTGAATTTAGTAGGCACTGTTACATTATATTCCTTAATAGCCAGAGATTCTTATCCATGATTTTAAAAATCTGTTATAGATAAATATTATTTAACTAGATTGTACAACCAATTTTCTTTGTACATGCATGCATTTTCATCTTAGGGTCAGATTTGTCTCTAAAGGAAATATAATCACAGTAAAAAATATTTTAGAAACTGTGAAGTAAATGAAAACCTAATTAAACAGGGTGGAACATCAAGGTAATGTATAAATGCTACTAGAAGCAAACTAAAGCAGACACATTTGTAACCAACTTTCCATTTAGTCATTATGTCCTACTCCACCACTACTTTAAAGCGAATTTTTTTCTCTTCTAAAACTTACCATGTGTCCTTTCCAAACTCCATAGCTTACGGTTATTTTAAAACTGTAAAAAAGAAGGCGTAGCATAAAGCTAATATCCTGGGAAGTCTCACTTTTTTTTATTAGTATATGTTTACAGTACATAATGACATTCATGAAGAGTTGGTACAAGTACATAACACATCTTAATTCTTTTTTTAAATCTTTTTGTCTATTTATTTATTTATTTGATACAGGGTCTTAGTATGCAGCTTGGACTCTTAGTTATCCTCCTGTCTCAGCCTCCCCAGCGCTGGGATTACAGGCTTGCGCCACCACACCCGGCCTCAGTGGCCGGCACAACATCCCAGAGTTCCAGGACCAGCACGGCATGCAGTGCTGGGGATTGAACCTGGGTCCTTACACTTGCCAGGCTGGACACTTACACCACCGCGCTATCTCCCCAGCCCAACACGTCTTAATTTTTTATACATCCCCTTCCTTATGCTTCCCTACTGTCCCCTTCCCTATATCTCTTGTTCTTCCTGTTTACAAAAGATCTATCCCCTTTCCTTTTATCTATCTTTTACTTTGCTCTTTCTTTCCAGTTCAGAATTCTCACATAAAAGAAACCATACAATATTTATGCTTAAATGTCTGATTTACTTCATTTAACCTGGTAATCTGGTCAGGTGTCCAGCACAAGCTGACACTGGAAGGTGGTGGCCAGCAGTAACATCCGGGACCATGGGTCAGGGAGATGGCTCAGTAGAATAAGCACTTGCCTGTCAAGCGCAAGGGTCTGAGTTCAAATCCCTGGTTCCTCAAAAAAAAAAAGGAGTAACATCCGGGACCCAGGAGGGTTGACCATTGAGGTCCAGCACACACCAACGTTAGATGGGGATGATAGGCAGTGGCAGTAACCACAGCCTGCTGTGTCAGCAGTTTGCATTCAGCATTACCCAGTTTCATAAGAACTGCACTTTGGTGATTCACAAATGCATGTGAATTGAGTAAAATAGCCTTCACATGATTGGTAGCATTTTTCATTTTCAGCCACAGTAGCATTTTGTGTTGACTTTTTTTTTTTTTTAATGTATTTTAGTATGCAGTCTACAGGGTCTCACGACGTAGATTGAACTTGAAGTGATTCTCCTGTTTTCAGCCTCCCAAGCACTGGGATTACAGGCGTGCACCAAATCACCATCTCAGCATGCCCTGGGGGCAGGACCAGCACACTGGGGACCGAATCCCAGCTGCTGCTGTCTGCCTAAGCAGGCTCTTTAGTCCCCTGAGCTATCTGGTTGGCCCTTTGACTTCTTGATAATAGTCATTCTTTCTGGATAAAGATGGAATTTTAGTGTGGTTTTAATTAGCATTTCTCTTTAGGCCAAACATGTTGAATCTAATATCTGTTGGTCATTTTTACTTCTGAAAAGTATCTGTTCATTTGAGTTACCTGTTTTTCACTGGGTCTTTTATTTTGGGGGATCTAATTTTTTTAGGTGTTTTTTATATTCTAGGTACTAATACACTGGCCACCTCATCTGTTGTAGCTCCAGATCCTTGTGGGCTTAACTTGCATTAGAGGAGATAGGTCCCTTTTCCTAGGAGCTGTGGTTAACTTTCGAGACTCCTTTGCTCTTTTATTCATTATACTCCATTTCTCCAGCTTTTCTGTGGTTTCTAATTTTCCTATCACCTCCCTCCTGATTCCCAGAAACCTTTTTTTTTTTTTTTTTTCATGAATTTGTTATTTTCCAGGTGTTTTGATTTCAGGTCCTGAAACCCCTTTATTTTTCTGCCTGTCTTTACTCTAGCATGTTTAATCTCATTCATACAATGTTTGGAAAAAGTACATCAACAATTAGAAGTTGGGGTAAGGCGTTGGAGGTGTAACTCAGTTGTCAGGTGCTTGCTTAGCATACAAATGTGCAATGAATGGTTATGTCAAAGGATACATTAGTATTTAACAGTATACAAAAAAAGTGCCATTTTACCCTTTCACCAAAAATGAAAGTTCCAATTGTCAACAGCTGGTACTATTACCAGCCTTTCCTTCCTCTCTCTCTTGTGTACCTTGTCATCTTCTTAATAGTGCTTATCTGATAAACAGAAGTTTTTAATTTTTCTAAAGCTCTATAGTTTTTCTTTTAAGGTTACCGCCTTGTCTTTCTATTCTAAAACAGCTTTGGAAGGCTGATGAGAGAGCTTAGCAGACTAAGCATCTTCTTAGGCAAATGCGGTGACAGGTTCGATCATCAGGACCACATGCCGTGCTGCCCCCAGCCCCAGGCACACTGAGCCAGCCACCAAGTCCCAGAGTGGTGGCGCACACTTGTAATCCCAGTGCTGGAGGGGCTGAAAACAGGAGGATCACTAGGAGTTCAAGCTGCATAGTGAAACCCTGTACCAAATACATAAAACATCTTTGGCTTACCTGAGGTCATGAAGACATTCCTCTACATTTTCTTTTAGTGACATTTTATTTCTAGTCTTTATATTAGATCTGTCATCCACTTCAAGTTTGTTTTTGGCATAGTAAACAATGTAAAGTGTCAAGTTTCATTTTTCCCAACGTTTATAAGCAGTTGTTCAGCTACATTGCTGAATAAAGTTCCATTTCCTCATAAACTGCTTTTTTTATCTTTGTTCAAAAGCAGCTGACTTCTTATATTGCTCTAATTCTTGATTCCCTCTGTTCCACTGATTTTTTTTCTATTCTATTAATGTATTTGTTTTCATTAGCACAATTTTATAAGATTTTGAGGTCAAGTAGCAATCTCTCAAACTTTGTACTTCAAGATTAATTATTCTAAGTCTTCAAGATTTCCAAGAAAAATTTCAGATCACTTTATTAGGTTCTACCAAAAGAAGAAAATTGGTTGGATTTTAGGGTGGGACTTGTATTGAATCTAGGTCATTTGTGGCTCTTACTCCAGGAAATGATCCTCGTGGGGCCTGAATTAAGTGAATAAACATATTCAGGTGTGTTTATCTGCACTAGTGTTCTCACCTTCCTGGGATCTCTGGTATCACTAGTCTGCACTCACAAGTAGTGACTGCTCTGTTGGTCTGCCCAGTATGTGCTCAACCCAGCCCTTGACCAAAAGCCTGCAGAGAATCTTCACATACACTTTTTGCCCCCACTCCATCAGTGTACTTCCTTCTCCTCAAGTACCTGGCTCTATAAATTCCAGTCACTTTGTCACGCCAAGCCTCAGTGCAACCAAACTGCCTGTTTTTCTGAACCTCTTACCTCCCTGCCATGTAAACAGAAAACTGCATTAGGCAGAAAGCCAATGGTTGTGAAGTTCACTTCACATACTTCCCTTTTCTCATGGAGGGGAATGCTGGTCCACTTGTGTTTCAATGCCTAAAAATAGTTTTCTCATATATCTTGTCTGCTGTCCTAGAAGGAAGACAAGTCTAGTACCAGTTATTCTCCCTTGGCTGAGTCTTCTTTTTTGTTCTTCTCACTTTCTTTCATGGTATCATTATCTAAAGTTGCCTAGAAGTAAACATAAGCTATTTCTGGAAGAAAGAAACCCATTTTAATGTTTTAAGCTGTTCTGTTGATTTTGCGTGAGACCCTGAAAGTAAGGCCGAAGCAAGAGTGGATTGGAAAATAGGATGAAAGAATTTTTGCCTTCCACATGGAAAATAGCAAATTTGGGTAATAATGAAAAAGACCATGTCTTTAAGGGTTTCAGTGAACTTTATTAAACTTGAAAACAACTGGATGTATAATAGCATAGTTCATTGATGGTGAACCTATGGCACATATGTCTCAGCAGGCTGTTTGTTACCATTGGAAGCTCTAAAAGATTCACCATCACTGGCATAGTTTGTAAAATTACTAGATAACCTTTTCTGCCCAGGAACGAAAGCCAGACAAGTGAGTCAGAAGTTGTGTGAAGTATAGACTGTATTACAATTCAGGAAAAAAATTCATTTCCAAAGCTTAGACACATAGTCCCATTGCGACAGGTACATAATGATAGTAGGGGTGGAAGGACAGTGTTTTAGCTGAGTTCGTGGGTCCATCAGAAGGTGAGGTAAGCTATCACGCAGCCTCTCTGTATTGCCATTCAGAGGGATTACAGGATGGGTAGGCATCAACATGGAGTTATGAGCAACACTGGGAGGCCCATTAATCCATTAACCACAAAGTGGGGCCTGTCAAATGTGAGTCCATCCTGTAGTATCTGTAGTAGCCTAAATACTGTGAAGAATGAGAACTGTGATGGTATTTTATTTACTATGGTAACTGTTATAGGAGACATTCTTATGTGTGACAAATTTAAATGTTGTAAGACTATGCAGCAGCAATATTTAAGGCTTAGAATAAGCATGTCTGCATATGTTATTTTTTGAAAGTACCAAGTATGGTGTTGGAACAAATTCTCAGATTCAGCTTCATTGTCAGTAACACATAAACAAAGCTTTAAGTTATAACTGACTCTAAGATAGGCAACTTCAGTGTCCACATTCTTAGTATCTACTGCTGTTTTGCAGTCCCAACACCCAGCATGATACTGAGAGGAGGGCATTATATTATTTTAATCTTTAAACCTGCAAGCGTACTTCTGAGCTTTTAAGTTTGAGCCCATTGAAATCTCAAGGGGAAATAATAGGCATCTACTCAAGATAACTTTAGTAGCTCAAGATATTATAAGTAATCTATTACTTTCCTACTTCGATACAAGTTGAAAACTTTGAAGAACTTGTCTTCCAGAAATTCCTTCTTACTCTGCAAGTCACTGTTGATATAATTATTTTATTTAATATTAAATATAGACTGGGGATCTGGCTTAATGATAACAGTGCTTCCCTAGGATTCAGGAAGGTCTGGATTTAATCCTGTGCTGCAGAAAAAGCAAGTATATTTGTTAACCTGGCACAGAACTTAACCAAGTGCAAAAAAATTAAAATCATTAGGTGTTACATTCTTAAAGGTTTGTTAATCACAATACTGTTGAGGGCCGGCCAGATAGCTCAGCAGATTAAAGCACCTGCTTAGGTAGACCCAGGGACCAGGGCTTTGATCCCCAGCCTGCTCTGCTGGCCCCGCCCTCTGGGTGTGCTGAGAGGGCAGTTGAGACTGGGCATGGTGGTGCATGTCTGTAATCCCAGCTCTTGGAAGGCTGAAAACAGGAGGATCACTATGAGTCCTATCTACATAGTGAGACCTTGTAGACCCTGTACATAAAAAAAAAAAAAAAGACTGTTGATAATGGTCCTGATTTTCTTTTATTGAAAAGTTATATCTCAAATTATCTGACTTGCACTGAATTATTTTAATGTTTTTAATACTTTGTAGCTAAAAAATTTTTTCTCTCCTTTAGATTTTTCGTGGTAAAAAATACTTAAGTTAAAATTTGCCATTTTAACCATTTTAAGTTTATATTTGATGAGTTGTGGAGTACATTCACATCATTGTGCATCCATTACCACTATCCATATCTAAAACTTTGTCCATCTCAAAAAACCTAAACTTTGTGCCCATTAAACATTATACCCTATTTCCTCCAATCTCCAGTCCCTGATAACTACCAGTCTACTTCCTTTCTCCATGAATGTGACTATTTTAACAAACACATATAAAAAAAATCATACAGTATTTCTTGTTTTGTGAGACCTTTCATTATTTAGTATCATGTCTTCAAGGTTTGCCCATATTATGGCATGTGTCAGAATTTCCATAATTTATGCAAATAATACTGTATTATTTAGCACATCTTGTTTGGTCATTCATCTCTCCAGAGATACTGGGTTTGCCTCCACCTTATTGGCTGTTGTGAATAATTCTGCTCTGACCATGGATGTGCAGTTACTTCTTCAAGACCATGGTGTCAGTGCTTTTGGGGTCCATGCTAAAAAGTAAACCGCTAAACTGTATGGTAGTTCTATTTGTGATTTTTTTAAAAAACCTCTCATGCTTTTTTCCATAGAAGATGTAACCTTTTACATTCTCTCCAGCAGTGCCCAAGACTTCTAGATTTTTCACATCTTCACCAAAACTGTTTTCTTGGTTTTTGATAAAAGCCAAATGATAACCATCTTTTTACGTGCATCCTTCTTTTTTGCCCATTTTTTGTATCATTTTAGAGTATATTTTCTGGTTGTTAGCTCCTTATGCATGTAATTTACACATCTCCCATTGTATTAAAATTGGTCTTTGATGTACAGAATTTTCTTTGAAGTTAAATTTGTTTATTTTTTTCTATCATGTGTGCTTCTCATGTCACATCCAAGAAATCAGTGCAAAACCCAATGTTATGAAGCTTTGTTTTCCTCTGAAAGTTTTGTATACAGTTTTTTATTTTAAGTAAATTGTAATTCATTATAAATTTAATAAGAAAAGGGGTTGGAGAGATGGCTCAGTGGTCTAAAGCACCTACTTAGAACAAGCTTGGCAAAGCACAGGGACTGCGGTTCAATCCCCCAGCACCACATGCCAGCCAGCCCCGCCCCCTGGTGGGCTGAGCTGCGCGCGCGCGCACACACACACACACAATAAATAAATGTAAAAACAAAATAGAAATTACCTTTAAAAAAAAAAGAAAGAAAAATAAATAAATACCTTTAATGATATTTCAAATTAGTTATGAAAAGCCTTTTGAAAAAAAACCTGAACTGTTTACCTGAGTAGATAATTTTATGTATCAATCCACAGTTCCAAAAAAAAAAAAGATAATTTTATGTCGTGTGTTTTGCTCAATTTTTAAAGTTTTTTAAATGGAAATTTCCAAATTAACGCAAAGATTTTTATACTTAACTATATACCATTGTTGGACCTTGTAAAATTAATCAGAATTCCTTAATGTTATCTAACATCCAGTTAAAGATTAGTTTTATTTCTGCTCTAGCAAAGTACAATTCAGATTTGAGACTTTTTTTCTGTCAAATGTGAACTATAAACATTCCTTAAATAATTGAACTCTTGGGCACTCCAGCAGTGCCCAAGAGTTAAATTATAAAAATAATTATAAAAATTTATAAAAATTATAAAAATAATTTATTCTATAGATTTTTAGACATTAGTGTTCAGAGACATAAACTCTAATTTGCCTCTTACCTAAACACGTGTAGAGTAATGCTTTTCCCTGGTTTCAGTTACTTATAGTCAAACATGGTCTCATAATATTACATGGAAAATTCTAGAAGTAATAAAATGAGTTTTAAAGTGCATGTCATTCTGTGTAGCATGATCAAATCTGTCATCCTCCTACCCAGATGTGAATCATTCCTTTGTTCCAAGATTCATGCTATACAAACTGCTTATTAGTCACTTAGCGGCCCACATGGGTGACTGTCATGCTATCTTAGTGCTTGTTTTCAACAACCCTTACTTTACTTAATAATGCCCCCAAAGCACAAAAGTGATGCCCCACAGTTTGGAAAAGCCATAAAGTGCTGCCCTAAAGTGTAAGAGGGAGACTAGTTACATATTTTTATTATATTATTGTAATTCTGTTTTAATGTTAATTTCTTGAATAATTTATAAATTAAGCATTATCATTGGAGGGGACAGTGTCAAATAAAAAGTGAAATGTTTTACAAATGCTCTTTTTTTTTTTTTTTTTTTTTTAAGGAATATGGTGGACAGTAGCCAACTTTGGTGATATTTCAGGAACTATCGCCATTGAAATGGATAAAGGAACCTATATCCATGCACTTGACAATGGTCTCTTTACACTGGGAGCACCACATAAAGAAGGTTAGTGTTTGGTAGAAACAATGAAAGGGAAAAGTCACTTAAAGGATATATTTTATGATAGTCATGTACTTAACCCCACTGTAATTATGCTAAAGCATATTCTAAAGGAATGGAACTGTTGTATTGGACCCTTCTTTCTGTTTTGGATATTTACCAACTCTTGGCAACTCCCTCCTTCCATTGTAAGCATTTGAAAACACTGTCCAGTGATAGAGCACATCTGTAGAAAAAAAAAAAAAACAGTATAAATACTGTAATTGAAATAGTAAGTGAAACCAGGCATAGTGGGACACGCCTGTAATACCAACACTAGGGAGACTGAGGCAGGAGGATATCATGAGTTCAAGGCCAGCCTGGGCTACAAAAGCAGTCTCATAATGCATAGGTAGACCCTGTCTCAAAAGAGAATAAAAGAAAACCTAATAGAGTCAAAAGTTTGAATTTCTGTTTTCTTTAGGCCTTTTGCCAAAACTATCCTGAGAATAGTTAACAATTAGAAAGTTCCTCATTCTGGTTAGATCACAGAGAAGCACTAATGAGGTATAAAATAAACTAAAAGCATGGCTGGCCGAATAGCTCAATAATGGCCTGCAGGCAGGTGCAGGGGCCCAGGGTTTGATCCCCGGGCCTGCCATGCCAGCCCCGCCCCTGGGACACCCTGAGATATTATTGAGTGATTGAGATTGGACATGGTGGCTCATGTCTGTAATCCCAGCTCTTGGGAGGCTGTAAACAGGTGGATCACTACAAGTCCAATGTACTAGTAAGACCCTGAACACCCTATACACCCTTCCCTAAAATACAAAAAATAAAATAAAAAAACACAAAGCAAGAAACAGTATCATTTGATCACAGTGGCCATTCACTTTAATAAGTGAAAGCATTTAGTATTTTAAATATTAAGTACTTATTTCTCTATGTTTTGCAGTTAAAACAAGGAGAAAGTATATTGGAAGTAACTAAATTACCATGTAGTTATAAGAAGATAGTTTATGGAAGATATGACTATGGATACTGTATTATAATTGTGTCCAAATATTTTTAGATCAATTTTAGGAGGAAAAACTTTTTCTTCTTCTGAGTTCTTATACAAGGGAGACCATACGATATTTACACATGTGTATCTGGTTTATTTCACTTATGAGTATATCTTCAAGTGGCATCCACTTCAGTATAAAGGCTTCGAGTTTGTCATTCTTAATAGCTGAATAATACTCCACTGTGTAAAAATACCACATCTTTTTCAACCATTCCTCAGGTGATGGGCATCTTGGTTGTTTCCAAGATTTGGCTATCACAAATAGTGGGAAAAACTTTTTTAAGCAAAAGAATATCTTTACCTGAATATTTATGAAAAGGTATGAAATACTTTCAATTTTTTTCTTGTAGTTGATGAAGGTCCTAGTCCTCCAGAGCAGTTTACTGCTGTCAAATTGTCTGATTCCAGGTAAACTTGATTTCAACTATAATTAATAATTTTCTTCTTGTTAATTTAATTTCATTCATTGTAAAATTCCACTATTCACCTAACAAAAGGCCACATAGTAACTTTGACTCAAGAAATAAATTCTCTGAAAATGAATTCTGTGATATTCAAGAGAATATTACTTAAATACCCAGTAAATATGTAAGTGTTCTTAAGCTAAAATTATACTAACTTTGTTTTTAGAGGAAAATTAAACCTCTAACATTTTATGAACAGCAAAGGTGTCAATAGGACTTCATATTGTGGCAAAAATATTTTAATACTTTATAATAGAACATTTATATCTATTAAAAGTAATATATTTGAAAAGTAGTACATTTAGGGAATATGTGCTATAAAATGCATATTAGATGTTGTGTAATGTTAGATATTATATAGTATAGTACTTACATTCAGAAACTAAATATGAAATTATATATAGACAGCAGAGTGTTCATGTCAGCAAACAGCCACATACAGCTTTTAAAGATTTGGATGATGTCTTAATTTTTTATATTTTATAATTTGCATATATAACATATCTGAATATATGTATGTATATACATACACATATACACACATACATGCATGTACATGCGTACCCTCTTTTTAGTTCCATATTTAATTTTTTTGCTCAGTTTTTAATATTTGTCTGTTTTATTAACCCAAAGAATTGCCCTGAAATCTGGCTATGGAAAATATCTTGGTATCAATTCAGATGGACTTGTTGTTGGACGTTCAGATGCCATTGGACCAAGAGAACAGTGGGAACCAGTGTTTCAAGATGTAAGTCCTATTACTTAAAAATCTTACCTTGAGTATAAGAAAAAATTTTAAAGGAAAGGTGCAGAACTATAATACATTCCATGAAAAAGATCAGTATGGATTTATAACCTTAAAAACATTCCAGAGGACAGTGCATGAAAGAGCACCTTGCTCACCATGTTTCTGTACACCCTTGGGGACAGCACATGGACTTTCAGTACTTTTTAAATAATCAATTTTAAGTCTCAGAGGAGAAAAACAAAGTAAATCAGGAGTATCTTATTAGCAGAAAACATGTATGTTTTCAAAAAAATTGGGAAATATGGTAAATGACCATGGAGCAAGCTAAAGCTAAGTTGTAACAATTTCTGCATAAACAATAATATAATTTAAATTTATTCTTAGAACTATTTAAATTTATTCTTAGAACTATAAAAGTTTCTTAGTTCATAATGAAGCTTAAAGGGAAAATGGTATGCCGAAAGATAAATGTAGTACAAAGGAAAAATATTTATAAATTTAATAGGTAATTACAATATATGAATGTTTTAAGTCTTTATTGATACAGAATACTTAATTTTCTTTTTCCATTTATATAAGCAGTAAAGACTAAACAGAAATATACAGAATTAAACTTGCTCCAGAGAGTTGATCCTATGTGAACAGAGGTAGGAAGCAGTGGGTCCCACTTTTTCCCAAGTGGAGAAGTCCATTGGTGAGTGACATCAGTGGTTATAGACAATATATAACCAATTAAATAGGATCCAACAGTTTTTCAAGATGATACCTTAGCCAAACATGTCAAATAGCTAAGTTCAATCTGGTTAAAAATGGACTTTTTTATTGCAGCACAGTACAGACGTCTCAACGCACAAATTGTGTTTAAATTTTTTTTTAACCTTTTATGGCCTCCAATGTTTTCTCTTCTCTTCGACCCCATCTTTCTCTATGTCAGACTGTCCACAGTACTTGTCAGTAGCTACTGAATTGATGTCATGGCCCAGTAATGGTTGCAACCTCTTATAGATGATCCTATTGATTATAATTTTTTTTTTTTTTTGAGACAGGATCTCAGTGTGTAGTGTGATTTTGCTTTAAACTTATGTAGCCCAGGCTGTGATACTCCTGCCTCAGCCTCCTAAGTGCTGGGATTGCATGCGTGTGCCACCATCCCTAGCAATCCTGTCAATTAAAGTAATGTATTTATAATAAAAATATTCCAGCAAGAAAGGCCAGAATGGATCAGAAACTGCTAATGAACTTTAAGACAGGTCATTTAATTTTGAGAAAAGGCACTAAGTTTCAAATAATTTAAATTTTTTGTTACTGTACTTCATAATACATAGTAATTACATTGATCTTGGAAAACTGGTCATGTATTCATTGCATCATTCCTCCTTCTTCTGCCCTTATCCTCCCCTCTCTTTTTCTTCAGACCTTCTTCCCATGTCTACAGAGTCTTAACTCTGAATAATTTAAGAAACACAAATTAGACTTTAGTACAAAGAGGGATTAGCTCAGGCCTCAATCCCTTTCAAGCCACACCTTGGTACTCACCGGCAGCCATGCAAGTGACATGCAACCCTGATGCAACCCTGAACCTCTCACCGGGAATAGGAAATTAAATGAACTCTGTGCCATTAGCGCTTTTTAAACTGGACGTGATGTGGAGTTATTAAAACGTTTGTAATTACTCTGAATATTTTGTCTGTCTGATGTTAAAGCTACTCCAAATTCCCTCAAAAAAAAACCCCAAAAATGTCCAAATACAAAATCTGAATCATCGTTAAATTTGTGAAAGGAATTTAATCAAATTTATAATTCAGGTATAGGAATAAAGAAAATAGTTTTCAGAGTATTGCTTAGTAAAGATCAGTGTATTAACAAAAATGTATCATTTTATATACGAGTCCATCAGATGCTGATTCTTTTTTTTTAATTTTATTTTATTTGTGTGTGTGTGTGTGTGTGTGGCCAGCTCAGCCCACCAGGGGGCGGGGCTGGCTGGCATGTGGTGCTGGGGAATTGAACCATGGTCCCTGTGCTTTGCTGAGCTTGTTTTAAGTAGGTGCTTTAGACCACTGAGCCAACTCACCAGCCCCCAGATGCTGATTCTTAATGTAAACTTAAAGATACCATACAGGCTCATTTTTATATCTTTTTTATAGTTTCCAGTTATAATTAAAGAAATTTTACATAAAACATTAATATTTTAAATAAAAAGTTATATATAATTCAAAACTTTTAGTTTTTAAAGATAATCTTTTTAACTGAATTAAATCAGTTATATTATCAATAGATTTTTGGGTTTTGTTTTTTTTTTTTTTAGGCCAAAGAAAATCTTGTTTTAAGCAGCCACATATAGAGGTACATGCCTGTATTCCCAGGTACTAGGAAAACTGAGACAAGAGTATCGCAAGCCTGGCCAATCAGTGAGACCATATCCCCCATAAGAGTTTTTAAAGGGTAGTTCAGTACTCCCTGGATTCGGTCCCAATACTGAAATTTAACACTGCTAGAATATGTTCAAAATGTTTATGTGGTAATCTTTGATTAGTAATAGTATAGATAATTTGGGGTTTATTTTTGTGTGTTTATGTTTTCAAGTTTTCTCTCAGTTACTCTTCTTGATTTTAGAATTGGTAAAAAAAATTTATTTAATCTAAAGAGTATTTCTTTTCCACATAGCCTTATAGTTCATTTTTGTTGTTATCTTGTTTTATTAGGGGAAGATGGCCTTACTGGCCTCAAATAGTTGTTTTATTAGATGCAATGAAGCAGGTGATATAGAAGCAAAAAGTAAAACAGCAGGAGAAGAAGAAATGATAAAGGTAATTTTAACATTTCTGTTCAGGTTTATAATATGTCATGTATGTGGTACAGTTTTGTCTCTGTAAAACATTTCTCCTTTACTATCACTAAGACTTACCAGCTTTTTAATAATACAATAGGTCCTTGATTTAGAAACAATTAATTCACAGTGCTGGTTTTAACTCAACCTAATTGTAGATCAAGACTATTTTTCCCATAAGAAATAATGGAAATACCCATAATACATTCAAAACCTCACCCTTACCTAACCTTTTCATAATAAAAAAGGGTTGTATAATATGCATAATTTACCAGAAAAACCAATAATTCTCCTAGGGTATTCACCAAAAAATTGTAAAATATGCCTAGTTTACCAAAAACAACAATTTCATACTGTACTCACCATTCCAAGTTGACACCTTTGGCTTGCAGGAAAAGGATGCAATGGAAAGTGGTTATAGATTGGAAGGAGAATCCTGTTCCATAAAAACATCAGGAATCTGGCTCTCTTATGTCCTTTCTCTTCTTGGGAGAGTCTGCATCCCACTAGCATCTACTCTGGCTCATTAGACCTCGGCCTTTTTAGAACTTAAAACTGGTCTGAGGTTGTCTGTTTCTGTCTTGTCTTTAACGCTGTTCTGTAGTATGACATGATACTGTCATTAAGCAAGTGAATGCCGTGATTGGCTTTTCGGTGTCTGGGTGAGTCTCCTCTACGAATGCTTGCAGCTCTATCCATTTTGTCAATGTTTCCCTTATTTCACAAGAACTTTGCTGTGCTGGTTGTTGATACTCCTCCTCCTCTTCAGATAGCCCCTCAGCTGCCATTCCCTGTTGCTCAGCCAGAAGTTGAAGTTTTTCTGTAGGCAGTTGCTCTGAGTGCACTTCCACCAGTTCCTTAATATCTCCTGTCTGCCTGCAAGTCTGTGGACTCTGCTGTAGTGATAGTGTCATCAGCCACAGGGTCAGTTGAAGGCTCAGGCTTCTCTACACAGCCTTCAAAGTGTCTCCTGCATTATTTTAGGTAGCACTTTATTCTAGGTATATCACAGGTCCTTAAAGAGACCTTGGTCTAATATTTTTAAATTAATCCTACACAGGAAAGGATGTAGTAATTTTCCACCCAGAACTCTGTAAGGGTTATATCCATATTAAAGACCTCCTGGGAGCGCTTCCAGAACAGTTCCTTGGTGCGCAGCTTCTTAACGTTATCCATAACGTGCTGGTCCCTAGGCTGCAGGAGAGGAGTCGTATTAGGTGGATAGAACTTGACTGAGAACCATGGAAATTTTTCAGCCAATTCTTCCAAATCTTGGGTGAGCAGGAGCACTGTCCAAGATGAGGAAAGCCTTGGGTATTGAACCTTTGTCCTCTAGATATTTTGTAGCAGTAGTACAGAAAACCTCCCTGATCTATTCAAAAAAGTACTCTTGTCACCCAGCCTTTTATGTTAGATTGCTGCAAGATCCCTGCCCTATTCTGGACGACTTTGTTTTCTGAATACTCTAGGGGTCTCAGAGTGAGGCTTTATCTTGAGGTCACCACTCCCATTGGCACATAACACTAAGGGTAGCCTGTCCTTCATAGGCTTGTGGCCTATCATTTTCTTCTCTTCCTGGACAATTTATGTTCAAGACATTTTCTTCCAGAAAAGGCCAGCTTCATCACAATTGAAAACTTTATAAGAACAAAATCCATTTCTCTGTGTCATGTCAAAGTGGTGTCTGTAATTTTCAGCATCCCTTTAGCATCAGCCCTGCCTGCTTCACCATGCCTAGTCACACTGTGAAGCCCATTTCTTGCTTTAAAATTGTGAACCCACCCATTTCTGACATGAAATGTTTCACCATTATCACTCATTGATGGATTATCCTTTTCAAGACCTGCAGTTATATCTCTTGCTCTTTGAGAAATTATGGACTCAGGCTATCTGCCTTTCATTTATCTATAGTGATAATAGCCTTGCTACCTCATCTAATACTGTTTGTCTTGATTTACTAATCTGAGTAACACCTTTAGTACCACCAGCTTCCTTATGCAGATCTTTCCTCTGTACAGTTGTGATGGTGGATTTCAACATGCTGTTCATATTAGAAAGACTGGCTGGGGCCAGGCAGATGGCTCAGTAAAATAAGTGCTTGCCTAGCAAGTGCAAGGGCCTCAGTTCAATCCCCAATTCAGCCAAAAAAAAAAAAAAGACTGGTCTCATGAGCGCCACCCTCCTATTTCTCTACAACTTCCTTCTTTTCAGTGGTGATTCCTTTCTTTACCTTCCCTTCCTTCCTTAGCTTTTTTCTACCTTTAATTTAACTCCAGTTTTGGAATCAGAAACTGAACTCAGGACCTCATACTTGTCAGGCAGGCACTGTGCCACTGAGCTATGTCCCCAGCCCCACATGGACCATTTTGATAGCAATAATCATAATGATTATATAAATCACTGACTGAAATTAAGCCTTTAAATACACATCTGAGCTCAGACTGATGCTTGCATACAGTTACATACCTTTTTTGGCATCATGAGTCATTATTTACAACTGCACAAGGTGCCAGCATTTGAGTTGTACCTCAAGACTTTGGGTCTGGGGCCAGGGAGATGGCTCAGTGGAATAAGCACTAGAGTCTCTGAGTTCAATCCTCAGTTCTACCAAGAAGAAAAGAAAAAAAAAATAGACTTTGGGTCATAAACTAAACCTAAAATTCAAGCTGTAACCAAGTTGTTTGCATGTGAGGTTGGTCAGAACTCTAGGGTCATTAACTCTAATAATCCTTTGCATTATGTCCTAAGTAGACTTTGAGTTACAGATTCCATAATTGCTGATTTAATTTGTACCTTTTAAATTACTCCATCTGTGAACACTTTACTATTGTTTTAATTGATTATTTTAACCTTTTTTTTTGAGTAGTTCTATGTATACTTTTTAGACCTATATTTTCTTTTTTCTCCTCCTGTTTAAAAAACTTTAATTTTAAAGTGTTCACAGAACACAAAACCTTTAAAAGCATTTAAAAGTATACGTTTTTGTCCACTTTGTTCACCTGTCTCCATCTTTCCATTATCCCAGCTCTGCTCCTCCCTTTTTATAGCCTAATATTTTCTTCATAAATACTTGAATATGTTTATAATTTTCTACTTTGAATTTTTGTCCTTAATATGTATCTGGGAAATCTTTCCCCATCGGTATATATATAAAAAGTTCTCTTTCCTACCTCTTCCCCACCTTTCTTTCCTTTTGTTTCTTTTAATAGATACATAATATTTCATTGTAGGGACATGCTTTATTTAGATCAGTCTCATGTATGGAAATGTGAGGTGTTTTCAGTCTTTTATTCTTTTTTGGAGTCTTTTATTCTCACAGTCCAAAGGCACTTAATTTGGACCATGCATCATTTTGTAGGTATGCAAATATAAGGCTAGTAGGTTGTTTTGTTACTTCCTAACTGTCATACTAGGCTTATAGGAAACATGAAATTCACGATAAAACTTATAGGACTTTAATACTCAATTTTTTGTTTTCCTTATGAATAAGTACATGTCATTTTTACATAAGGAGAAATAAGAGACAAGGGGGAAAACTTCGTTGCTGAGCTAAAATTAAAACTTCCTTATTCTAGGTGAAGTTTCCTTATCCTACTCTTTGTTTTACTTGATTGTGAAAGTTATACAGATATCTTCCTGTTAAGGTAAAATTCTAAACAGAACTACGTGATAGCTTAGTTAAAGCATGTGGTTAACAAAAATATGATGAAGACTTTTAAGTTTTAATATTTTCAGAATCCACTAGATCCTTAATGACAATTTTTATAAAATCCCCTAGATCCTTAATGACAGTAAATGAGGTGTGTCTAAAGAGTAAGGCATTCTTGTTGCATTACTTTCTTTTAAATCTTTTATTTGTTTGGTACAGCATCTCGCTATGTAGCTCAGACTTGTAGTGATCCTCCTGTCTCAGTCTCCCCAGCCCTGGGATTACGGGTATGTGCCACAACACCCAGTTTCGGTGGCCAGCACAGCTCGGCCAGAGTTGTGGAGCCAGCATGGCATGTGGTACCAGGAAACAAACCTGGGTCCTTGTGCTTGCCAGGCAGGCACTTAGACCACGATGCTTTCCCCCAGGCCTGCATCACTTTTTTTACTCTTCAAATTGATTCCCACTGCTGAGGGTCCTGAACCTTCCAGAATGTGTCTGTTGGGAATCATAGGTTGCAGCTAGTCCCATCCAGATTTCCTTTATTCAATATAAAGCATAAAAATACACATTTTTCTCTACTGCCAGCCTAATTTCTAAGTGTCTACCAAGTTTTTGTACATGCTTGGTTAAATTCCTTGTCTTATGTTTACTTTTCTTCTCAAGATACTCTTTGCGAGTCCTAGCCCAGGTCCGGTGAGTGTGCGGAGAGTTTCCTGCTACCCTG